AAAAAAAAAAAAAAAAAAAAAAGGAGAATGGGTTTATTTTGTTGTATGCATGGCTCCAGGCTTCCATCCATCACAGCATGGACATAACAGTCACATGAGCTTGATGGAACTTGTCACATCACATACATGATCAGAAACAGAGAGCAATGACAAATGGGTGCTACTGTCCCGTTTTCTTTCTCCGGCCCAGATCACATGCCCAGCAAATGGCCCCACTCATAATTAAAATGGGTCTTACCACTCAATTAAAATAATCAAGAAATTTCCCAACAAATATGAATAGAGGCCCATCTCCCAGGTGATTCTAGATCCTGTGGAGTTGACAATTAACACTAAACATCACAATAACAAAAGTTATTTTAATTCACTATATATGCTGTTAAAGTTTTCATGCCTTGCACAGATTGTACCCTTCAACTGTCAAAAGTAAATCTTTGTATCTGATACCCACTACATAAAATAGTGAATTGGGGTTTCTAAACAATTTATTCAAGAATATGCTCTTTGAACTAAAATTTAAATGCAGTTGTTTTGGTGATTCTTTGTAGGCAAGTATGATGGTTGATCTCTACTATCAAATTGATGGAACTTAGAATAACCATGGAAACAAATCTCTGGGCACATCTTTGAGGGATTATATACATATTAGGTTGATTAGTACTGGGAAGATTCACCCTAGATGTGAGTGATGCCATCCCAGTGCCTGGGATCCCTGACTGAGTAAAAAGAGAAAGCTGGATCAGCACCAGCATTCATCTCTCTCTCTCTCTGCTTCCTGACTGTGGTTACAATGAGACCAGCTGCTTCAAACTCAGCCATGACTTTGCTTTCATGGTGGATTATGTCCTTCATCTATGAACTGTGAGCAAAAGTAAATCCTTCCCTCTTGAAGTTGCCTTTGTCAGGGTAGTTTATCACAGCAAGAAGACATGTAATGAAATGCATAAGGCTAGCTCAGGACCCACACTGTTCAGAGCAGACTCCCCTGCCAAACAGATGAATCATTGGTTTGTTGTGGCTTTGTATGCAGCAGCAACAGCAGCATTGTGTGTGTGTGTGTGTGTGTGTGTGTGTGTGTGTGTGTGTGTGTGTATGTTGGTTGAATATATTCATATATGTAGATTTCTACTTATTTATAGGTTTATATCCAATGGTTTGTGAAGCCGTTTAGTGCTTTACTCCAATGCCTCTACATTTGTTATAAATTCTTTATGTTAAGGGCTGGTCTAATCAAGTTACAAGGGTAATTTATGAAAACATTCCTATTCTGCTTTTCAGGCATCTGATTGGCTCAATGAAATCATATCCACACTTGTGTCAGTCAGAGTTCTCACTGGAGATAGAGCCAATTGGGGATGGGAACAAAGTTGGATAAAGGAAGGGACAGAGGGAGAGTGAGTTTTCTCATAGAATTGTGGGGAATTAAATTGTGTGAAAGGCGGCAGGTTGACAACTCAGGTAAAAGTTGATATGCTGTGAGGAAGAATTCTTCCTTCTCAAAAGCTTTGTTTTTCTGTTACTGCTCACAACTGATCAGATGATGTTTGTTCACATTACCAAGGATATTAAACCCCAGGAAAAGTTGATTGATTGTTAAATATCAATCAGATCTACAAAATACACAGTAACATCTAGGCTGATGTTGAGTAAAACATCTGGGCATCATAGCTGTCTTTGTTCATTTAGAATACTATAACATATCATAAACTTAGTTGCTTATAAATAATATGAAACTAATTTTCTACTGTTTTAGACTTTAGATGTTGTGGCATAGTCTTTGTGTACACTGTGAAGATATGTCGCTCTGGCTGGTTTAATAAAAAACTGAATGGCCAATAGCTAGGCAGGATTTCTGGGCAGACAGGATGCTGGGAAAAAGAAGGCAGAGCCACCAGGAGACACAGAGCAAGCAGGATGGGCAGTGTGAAGATGAAGTAATAAAACCACAAGAGGGAAATTAAATAAATAGAAATGGGTTAATTTAAGTGATAAGAGCTAGTTAGAAACAAGCCTAAGCTAAGGTTGAACTTTCATAATTAATATGTCTCAGTGTCATTTTTTGTGAGCTAATGGCCCAAAGAAAATCCCAACTACATTAGAGACCTTTAGGATGGATATCTGCTGGACATTTACTTTTTCATTTTAAGATGCTGGACTTCTGTCTGCATATAGAGTCTTTTTTGTAAGTACATTAATCATACTTCCAAAAGACTGAATGACTTTGCAACTTAAAGCAACTCCTAGAGGCTCCAAATGCTAACACTGTAGCTTCAGGGATTGCATTTTCAAATAGGACTTTGCAAAGACACTAAAATTCAGTCTCTGGTAACAGCCTAACCAAGGTGACACAAGAAATGGACTGTGGCATTATTCATGGTGGTAGGATAAGTAAGTAACCCCTAACTCAGTGCAGAGATCATAATACTGATCATCATGTGCATGTTGTGATGTGTTTTTAAGCACTGCTGAAAGTTAAAATATTGGTTTATTACAACAATACCCCTTATTTATTTTTCTTAAAACAGCCTCTATGGTGGTTTTTCATGGAAATTTATAATACCAAAACATAGGCTATGTTAACAGTTGCAATGATGGTAGAGATTTTTATTGTGTACCAAAGCATGCTCTTTTTCTTGTCTCTTCCAGAGCTGTATGAGGAATAAAGCCCTGAGCAGAGTTTCATGGCTACAGATGCCCAGTTAGGGAGCAGCCTTTATTCCTAAATGTATTGTGTAACTAATTCAGAATATGAGCCAAAGAAATAAACTGTTACTTTCAGGCTAAGACTGTAAAGGAGTATGTTGGTTGTTCCACACCCTTTTTCTCCTTTCTGACAATGGAATGGCAGGGAACAGTGATAACATACAATGGAAGGATCCTGGGTATTGAATCATTTGTGGAATTGAGCTTATGGGGGAGAAATAGGTGCCACAAAACACTAGACTGAGCAAGAACCAGACATATCAGTGTATTATGTCAACAGTTGTGTGTCACTGAGAACTTGTAAAGCAAGCTAGTGTGCTAATCCACCAAAATCTTGGAATGACACTGTAACATGAATCTTAAAAGGTTTTATTAACAGAAAACCTGGAGCCAGATATTGGGGTGAAAGCTGAAATATCAGAGAAGCAGAGCAAGCCAGCCACAAGTTGTTACCTCTACGAAATCCTCAGTCTAAAGAGAGCAAGTTCCTGTTTCCTCATGCCTTATATACCTTCCTGTGCCCTGCCATATTACTTCCTGGAATTAAAGGCATCATCACCACTGCCTGGTTCTGTTTCTCTCATGTAGCCCAATGTGGCCTTGAACTCACAGAGATCCAAATAGATCTCTGCCTCTCAAGTGATAGGATTAAAGGTGTGCACCACCACTGCCTGACCTCTATGTCCAATTTAGTGGCTGGCTCTGTCCTCTGATCCCCAGATAAGCTTTATTGGGGTACCTAATATATCACCACATGACATTGTTCGTCTAAATGAATAAAAAAATAGGAATGTGCATTTGGGGTTTACATGTCTTCATGGATTCTGGGAGAAGAGGCTGATCCAGCCACTGACAATAGAGCTATGTTTGTTTATACTTTTTTTCTTCTGATAACCTCCAAACAATGAAAAGGGGAGCATGTGGGCTACAAATCACCAAGATTTTACATATAACTGTATGAAACCTACCTCTCAATTTGTAGTCTAGAATGTTATAAAATATTATTTATGGCATGAAAATAAGGTGATTTCTAAAATTGTCTGGTACATTTTCAGGATGAGAAATGGACTGATCTAATGATTACATGTTAAATCTCATTCAGTTTCCCACAAAAATAACAATGCAAAGATCAGGAGGGAAAAGACAGCTGCAATAATGAAAGAGTTGGGAGTTTGTGTTTGCCTGAGATCAAAAGATGGATGTGCATGTGTTAGAGGTCAATGTGGAACACTGCACTTCAGATGAGACTTAGTAGAGTAGTGTGCTGAAGCAAAGAGACCAAGAACTGCTATGGGATGGTCTGTATGTCAAATTACTCTGATTGGTCAATAAATAAAACACTGATTGGCCAGTGGCTAGGCAGGAAGTATAGGCAGGACTAACAGAGAGGAGAATTAAGGGAACAGGAAGGGAAAGGGAGACACTGCCAGCCGCCGCCACCATGACAAGAAGCATGTGAAGACACCGGTAAGCCATGAGCCATGTGGCAAGGTATAGATTTACAGAAATGGATTAATTTAAGCTATAAGAACAGTTAGCAAGAAGCCTGCCACAGCCATACAGTTTGTAAGCAATATAAGTCTCTGTGTTTACTTGGGTGGGACTGAGCGGCTGTGGGACTGGTCGGTGACAAAGATTTGTCCTGACTGTGGGCCAGGCAGGAAAACTCTAGCTACAAAGAACTGCAAATGTAACCCCTAGGCACGCACACCTGTGGTTCCATGACTTCACTTTGATTGATTAGAAAGTTTAAGGAGAATCTAGAATTTTATGGTAAAGGACAAGTAAGCTTTGTCCCAGGGATAAACAAAACAAAAACCTATAAAAAATGAATTCTCTAGGGAGGCACAATTATCTTGTTTGAAATGTATCTGGCGTCTGTTTGGTCTGGACATTAATATATAAAAACCCTTGAGGAGATTCATTTACTTGGGTAAAGGAAATGGTAAATTGAAAACAAGTGAAAAAACGCAATAGAATGAAATCTCATCTAATTTACTAAAGGCTTAAGAATGAAGTATATACCAAAGCATGTCTTCTATGTAGCTTATGTCTGATATGAATCTTTCACACTCTTACCTCTTCTTTTTGATGTCTCTCACTCTCCCATCACATCCCCAACACACACAGCATAGTTATAAAAAAGTGACATGTTCAGGATAAGGTTTGCTACAGGACATATGTAGTCTAGGCAATCTTGTGTTTTCTGAAGCCTTCAACACCTGGTTTAAAAATTCTGCCTTAATGAAGTTCAGAATATCACATCCCCTATCATTGGAAGTATACAAGAGGCTAAAATGATCAGCATTTCCATTCATAACTAATGTTCAGTGGGCCTCTTAACATCTTCCTGGAGGCCATTCACTCTTCTTCCTGTGAACATAGATGCATATGTTTAAGCTTTCATGGATGTCCTTCTTCAAAAGCTCTGTACTGCCTGTTCATTGCCTATAGGATAACTTGCCTTTGCTATCAAAGGTAGGTCATGTGCTCCCAACTTTCATTATAAATGGTTAAACATCTCTGGTCATTGTCTCACATGTCACTCAGTAACCACAGTGGAAAGGGGGGAAATTCTACTTTTTCCCCTCTTTGTTAGAGAAAGATTTCTGAAAATCAGATCTAAACTTTATGAAAACGTCTTTCATTTTAATATAATTGGACAGCATCTAGGCTGTAACACTGTTTAACCTTTAAACCTACCTTAAGTTTGCCTTACCTATTTCTATTGTGGAGACATATCCTTGACAGCTAGGAACTCAGTGTCAAGGCATGTGGATGGGATGGAGAGGGTATCTCTAAATCACATGAATAGTCTCAGACAAGTGACTCCAGAGAAAACATTATTGGATCACTCAAAAGACATAGCCAAATGGTAGCTTTTTAAAGAAAATATTACCCACAGATTAAAAAAAAAAACCCACAGGATTGCAGCCCCAGTTACAGGCCAGTAGGCAAGACTCCTACTGGCAAGCCTTCCCAACGCCCCCCCCCCCCAGACCCTGTAATCTAGAAGTCTCACTCTGTCTCAAACCCACCCATCCTCCAAGACCCCAACAACACATGAGATACAGACATGATGTTAAAAATAACTTTATGAAGATGATAGAAGCCTAAGGAGAGAAATTGAAAAAATTAATTCCCTTAAAGAAATTGAGGAAAAGACAAAAAATTGTGAGAAAACAATAAATCCTTAAAGAAAGCCAAGAACAGTGGTCCAGAGGGTGCCTGCACCGGTCTACTCTGGTGACCGGCCTAGCAAATAACCTAGCTGTCATCATAGAGCCTTTGTCCAGTGACTGATGGAGGCAGATGCAGAGATCCACAGCCAGGCACAGGCTGAGCTCCAGCAATCCAATTGATGAGAGAGAGAGAAGAGATTCTGCAGGCGAGAGATGTTGAGATCATGATGGGAGGATGTGCAGGGATGACCGGGGGACATACTAGTGGAAGCCCATGAACTGTGGACTGGTGGCTGTGGAGCCCCCATGGGACTGGACTAGGCCCTCTGGATATGGAAGATGGTTGTTTGGCTCGAACTGTTTGGGGGACACCCAGGCAGGGGTATTGGATTCTGTCCCTGATCTATGGGCAGGCAGGCTTCTGGGAATCTGGTGCCTGAGGTGTGACACCTTGCACAGCCTTGGTGCAATGGGAAGGGGCTTGGATCTGCCTAGGCTCAGTGTGTTGGGCTCTGCTGACTCCCCTTGGGAGACCTCGATTTGGGGGATGTGGGGATGTGGGGTGGCTTGGGAAAGAGGGCTGGGGGTGGAAGGAGGGGGGATCTGTGTATAGTATGTGGAATGAGTAGAAAATTTCTTAATAAAGAAAAATAAAAAAAAGAAGAAAATCCCCTGAGACACTAATGAGAACTTGAAAGTATATCTTCTTTATAGCCATTAGCAAACTTTAATTATGTGATTTTATTCATGAAAGTTAGTGGATTTCTAACATCTCCATAGACATTGGCTTCATTTAATCTTATCTTAATATCCATAATGTTATGTAAGCTTTCTAATTAAATTAATAGAACTTAAAAAAAAGAAAACCAAGAAAAAGCAATCAAACAGTGAAAGAAACAGTTCAAGACTTAAAAATTAAAATAGAGGCAATAAAGAAGACACAAACCAAGGAAATGCTAGAAATGGAAAATCTGAGTAAAGGAACAGGAACTACAGATGCAAGCATAAGCAACAGGATGCAAGAGATGAACAGAGAATCTCTGGCGTTGGTTCAAGATACTATAGAGGAAATAGATTCATCAGTCAATGAAAACATTAAAGCCAACAAAGTCATAATACAAAATGTCCAGGAAATCTGGGACACATGAAAAGACCAAACCTAAGAATGATAAGGATAGAAGAAGGAGAATACCAGCTCAAAGGCGTAGAAAATATATTCAACAAAATCATAGAATAAAACATTTTCAACCTAAAGAAGGAAATGCCTATGAAGATACAAGAAGTTTACAGAACACCAAATAGACTGGAACCCCCAAAAGTCCCCTAGCCACACAATGAACAAAACACTAAACATACAGAATAAAGAATATTAAGAGCTGCAAAGAAAAAAGGCCATGTAACTTATAAAGGCAGACCCATCAGAATAACACTCAACTTAACAATGGAGACTCTGGAAACCAGAAGGTTCTAGGCAAACATTACGCAGACACTAAGAGACCACAAATGTCAGTCCAGACCAGTATACCCAGCAAAACTTACAATCACCATAGATGGAGTAAACAAGATATTCCATGACAAAAAAAAAAAAAAAAGATTTAAGCAATATCTATCCATAAATCCAGCCCTACAAAAAGTGCTAGAAGAAAAAATCCAACCTAAGGAAGTTAGATGCATCCATGAAAATACAGGCAATAGATAATCCCACATCAGAAAATCCCAAAGAAAGGAAACACACACACACACACTACCACCAAAGATAAGAAATAACAATCATGGGTCATTAATATCGCCAAATAACAATGGACTCAATTCACCTATAAAAAGACGCAGGCTAACAAATGGATATGAAAACAGGATCCATCCTTCTCTTGCATACAAGAAACATATCTCAACTTCAAA